TCACGAGTTCAATCCCCAGTACCGATAAAAAAAAGAAATTTATTTACTTTTACCTTTCAATCCTCTCCATTAAGCATAAAAATTTAATTGAATGTTTTCACTTCCGAGAGCTCTTGTTCTTTCATTTTTCTTACTTCTGAAGCACCCAACCTTTGTGGATCTGAGGATACTAATTAGAGGTTGCTTTGCTCTGTGTCCCCTGAATAACGTGTTTTCTGTGTCCATCCTGGTCCTCCTCTTTCGTGGGTAACTCTTGCCTGTTAGCCCGCGTTCTCTGAACACGGAGGTGGGGTGTTTGATGAGGAGCTGGGGGGAGGGAGGCTAAGCACCAGCAGACTTTGTTTTAAGCTGAACGATGGGGCCTGGCTGGGCTCTGGGGACCCTGAAACGCCAGCCTGTGCAGGACTAAATGTGGGTGTCACGCATTTGCACTCACTGATTGTCCTCAGAGAGTTCCTTCTGCTTTTTAAAAAGAAAAACAGCAATTTGTACCATTTGGCCTGACGTAGGTCAGGTCTGCAGTCCTTTCTGCCGCTTTCGTGGTCACAGTCACAGTGCACGGCCACCTCACCCAGCCAGCGCCAGCCTGGGACTGGTGAGTCCTTTACATGCAGCATCTCGGCTGTACTGATGTTTGCATAGGTGGTCTCCTGGCTTCCCAGGGAGGCCACGTACCTGTGCATCCACAGGAGGAGTCCACGGAGCCTTAGAAAGCTTCAGTACAACACCCAGGGTCACACAGCTGAAGAGAAATGAACGGAGAATTTAATCTCAAATCTCTCCAACTTCTGAATACCAGCCACGCACCCCTTGCCATTGTAATAACTGCCCTGTATTTCCTGTGCCTGGGACACGGGGCTGCCAGCTTGCTGGGACTTGCCTTCCCATGTCCCACCCTAAGGGAGGGTTTCTGTTAATGCTCATATACAGAAACAATTAGATACAGAGGGTCACTTCCTTTTTGCCACTATGGAGGCTCCTCTTTCATCTTCATCAACCAAATTCCCTCTAAAGTTATTAATTTTAACCTTACAAATACAGCAAACGCTGAATGAGTTTTTATGTGACCCCTGTGCAGGGACTCGATGGTCTTCTCTGTATGATTCCTATTTCAGTATCCGCGCTGCCAGAGCGGACATGGTCTTGACTTCCTTAGCACAAAGAGATGCTCTGGGCTTGGCCTTGGCCTTTGGAGCTCCTTCCCATGAAGGTCATTGCAGAGGGGCTCGCACTCCTGTTTTCAAAGCCAGCGCTTTGCCTTTGGAACACTGCTGTGTGCTCACTGGGCTCAGGGAGAGCTGTGGTACCCGGCGCTGCCTCTGCAGCCCCCAGGAGCCCAGGTCTCTGCGGCTCAGCCGGCAGGGCCTCCCTCTTCTCCTCTTCACCTGATCGGTTAGAACGCTGAGTGCAAGATCGCTTGAGACCTTTGTGCAGCAGAGTCCTTGTAAAAAGAGACTGTTAGACTCATTCCTGCTTCTTTCAGGGACATCTAGTGTTAGATCATATGAGGCAAGGCTTGCGGCTATTAATTATAAATCAAAGTGACTCCATAGCTGACTTTTAATGATTTTATTATTTAATATAATTCATCATTTGCTAGAAAAAAATCAGCACGCAGAAAGAAATGAGGAAAATATCCCCAACCACAAGTTGGGCAACTTCTTAAATCAATCTGACAGTTGTGGAAGATGCACACATTTAATGATAAACACTTTATTAACAATAGGACATTCCCTCCTCACACCTCTTCATAAATTATTTTCTGATCCACAGAGAAAAGACTCTGTACTTTAAAAAAGATTAAATTCTGGTACACATTTTAAAAGTGATTCAGAGTCTGCCCCTCTGGTGAGTCAGCAGAAACCATGCTGGGTCTGGGAGGAGTCCAAGGAGAAGCCAACCCGCCCTTCCCATAAGCTGCACAAGCCACATGGGGCCCAGGAAGAGGAGCCAGTTCACCCCTCCTGGGAGCTGACTGGCCTCTGGGCTGAGTAAAAGAAGCCCCCACCCACACAAGCCACCGGCTGGTTCACAGGACAGGCTGAGCTGATAGCAACTGAGGTTCAAAAACAGTGAAATGTTTGTACTGTTTGATTGACTTTGCAGGCCTAACTAAGGCCAGCAGTCTGAGCATCTATTAGGAGGATGACAGTATGCAATATAACCAGTAAGGGGCATTTCCTTCTGTCTTGTTTGTGAAATCCAATATGTTTGCACTGTTTTGCTTTGTTCAAATTTAATGTTTTATTTTACATAATGTTCTGTTTTGATTGGCTTTATTCTGTTATATTCTGTTTGATTTTACTATGTCTGATGGTATAGACAACTATTGTGAAGATAACAAGAAATATTATGGTGCCATTGTAGATTTCCTATCATCCCGTTTCAAAAATCCTGTGTCACTTAGTTTCGATTGGTTTTATTGTTTTCTTTTGTTAGGTTTTAGTCTGTTTAAAATAAAAGTAATTTTAAAAATTAAAAGAAGCAGCAAAATATATCATGTACAGGTACAAATTCCCTACAATGAATGTGATCATTTTGTACAACTAAATGTACCAATAAAGTTTTTTAAAAAGTGATTCAAGTGTACATTCTTCTTTGTGTTCTCATTGTTCTTTAATTTTTATTTTCACCAACACATGACTGCAGTCATCACAGGAGTCGCCCGGACATAGCACACCGTAATTCTTTGAATCCCCCACTCTCTGCCCGCCTCCATCTCTTGGTCCCCTCAAGTACACACCCTTACCACAGGAAAAATCACATCACAGGAGTAGAGTGTTCATTCGAAAGAAGACTTAAGAATGCGTTATACCTCTTTTATCTTAATTTCCTTTCTATTAATTTTTTTAATAAAAAAAGAAGCCTTATAATGTTTTCATTAATTGGAATGGTTCTATTCTGGGTTGTTTGATTTTATTGTCTGTGATGGTATCAACAGTTATTTTGAAGAAAACAAGACAATATAACAGCTAGTGCTGATTTAATATCATCTTGTTTTGAAGTCCCATGAAGCTTTTATTCTTCTGTCTCCATCGGTTTCTCATGTTGTATCTTACTGGATGTTATTATATGTGATAGTATAAACAAAAATTTTTATAGACAAGGAGTTAATATAGAAACCATTGTTCGTTTTCTGTTAGTTGGTTCTAAATACCCTGTAATGCTTTCATTCTCTTGAATGGTTTTACACTGTCATGTTGTCTTTGATGCTATAGTATACGAAGTTATACTCAAATATTTCAAGGAAAGAGACACTATGGTAGCTACTGTTATGTCGGGTTATCTTGTGGTGGAAACACTATGTTGCTTAAATTGTTCTGTTCTGACCCTATGTTGTTATGTCCTCTTTTATCTTACTTTCCTTCTTTATATTAATTTTTTAATAAAAAAGTATGCATTATAAAAATAATATGAATAAATGGATGCAGCTTGAGACCATACTCATAAGCGAAATAAATCAAACTCACATGTATAAATACCAAATAGTTTCCCTAGTGTAAGAAATGGTAAGAATACATAAAAGTACGTGTTAATCATGATTGCCCATTATATTGGTTTGAAGCCTAAAAAAAATAAATAAATAAAATTTTAAAAATTAAAAGCAATCTGAGTGGTCAGAGAGGGTGCCCTGCCGTCCCTGGCATCTCTCTCACATTCAGCAGGTGTGACACGGAACTGCTGGGATGCTGAGCCAACTGTGACTTCCAAAGCTTTGTGTTTTTTTTCAGAACTAGGTTTTGAATGGAGGCCTCACACATGCGAGGGGAGTGCTGTGTCACTGCCTCATCCTCACATGTCACCAGCCCTCTTCAACACTTTCCAAAGGTTTGAGGCGCCTTTTACTAAGTTGCCCAGACCAGCTTGAACTTGAGATCCTCCTGCCTCGGCCTTGAGTAGCTGGGATTGCAGACATGCCCCACGTGCCCCACCTGCCTCGCCTTCCACTAGATCTTATTCTGGGAGAGGCCGGGTACTGTACGGGGACAAGGGGCAGCTCTAGGATGAGATCTAGGGGTGACGGCAAGGGCTCCTACCAACAAACATGACCCTGAGCACCTTGGAAGGGGATTCTCCGAGGACTGGGAACCTAACTGGCATCTTCACAGCAATCTGGTGAGGGGGCCGCCAGGCTAAAACCACCTGGCTGAACTGCTCCTGGGTTCTCGACCTACTAAAACTTTGAGATACAAATGTTTAATGTTGCTTTAAAACTACGTTCCAGGGGCTTTTGTGACACAGCAGTAATTATTACAGTGAGTCACAGTCAGCAAGAGGATATGTATTTTGAAAAAAAGGAATCCAGTATCTATCTGCACAGAACGTTGAACTTGCCCACACAGGGCCAGGTTCCACGTTTCTCCTTTGATTATGGAGGGCTTATTTCACCCAGTGTTCTCTAGGCGCAGGCATGTCCCCTTCCCACGGATCTGTTCATCTGGCTGGAACCACACACTTGGGGGATTGTCACTGCGCAATGTCAAGGGGGGAGGCGAGGTGTCCTTAATCAGCAGCAGCAACCTGTGCCTGAAAACGAAACCAAGAACTTAAAATCCAGCAGTGAGCACTGGCCCAGCCGCCCTCCGTGTCACGCCAGTGGTCCTGCGGTGTCCTCCTGCGGTTTTCCGCCGCGGCTCCTACTTGCCAGCAACAGGTCCTCCAGGCAGTGACAGGGGCCCAGCTAAGCCCCAGAGTCCTGGGAACTGCAATTGACCCCAGTGGGGAGTTCAACAGGAGACAATGGGCTCCCTCTGGTGGCCGTTTCATAAACTACAGCACCAAAACTGCCGGCGCCCTGTATTTTAAATAGCCAAGCCACAAATGAGTTAAATAAAATCTGTTTTTGTACACGCAGCAGCTGAGAGTATGATGTCCAAACAGACCAAAAAGAAAAAAAAAAAAACCATTTTAGCTGAGTGCTTTTTAAACTAGTGTCACATTTTTTTGTTCATTCCTTATCACGTTTCTCTACATCCTAAAGAAGCACAGCTGAGTCACGGTTGTTAGCTGTACGAAATTTAATAAGATCAAGACAATCTCATTACCCAGTTTAATTATTCTCGGAGGCCTGGGAGAAGTGATTGCAAAGTTCGTTAGATTTGCTCGGGAGCTAGAATATCAACAACTGACGCATCCCTTACGTTTTCATGTTGCTGGTTTCAGGAATTCTTGGGCCCTGATTTTAGGTAGTGACTCCCAATGTCGTGCCCATCGTGTCAGCATTTTCCCTGCTTTTTGCCTTTAGGGTTTGGGAAAGGGCAGCCGCAGAGACAGCAGGGTAGTCACAACAAAATACCAAAGGAGGGCTCTCCTGTAAGTAAGTAGAGGTGGCCTTGTGGCAAGGTGTGCGGTTGGGTCCTTGACTCTCCGCCAAGGAACAGACTCCTGCTTACACCCAGCTGACCTCTAGGCCGGCCTGGCCCGCGCGGCCTGAGCCTGAGGTCCCGACGGCGCCACCGCCATTCCCAAGGGAGCGTTGGCTGTCTGTCCTGCAAAGGCACAGATGGAGGGAACGAGGCCACCCCTCGCAGGAGCTCCCCGAGGCGCGGCCTCCCCGCTGCACCACCTGCCTGGCTCTGCAGTTCTCACCTGCTTTAATTAACACTCCCGTGCACGTTGCTAAGCAACCAGCGGTCTGGGCTCCTCCCAGACTCTGCGCGCCCGCGTCTGCCGCCTCTCCAGGCGGGGAAAGGAACTGGACTGTGCGCGGAGACGCTGGGTGCAGCCTCTTCCCCGGGCCTCCGCCCTCGCCGCCTCTGCTCGGGCCGCTCCAGGGCGCGCAGACTCCGCTGACCCAGCTCCCGGCCCGAGCGCAGCAGCGTCCCCTGCAGGCGCTGCCACGAACCTCAAGTCATCTGGGAGCTCATCATTCTACCAGATCAAAGCGAGCGGCCGCTTGGATGTTACAATAGCTGCGACTGCAGCGCCCTCCACCGTCATCAGGAAATGCCGCTGCTTCCTGTCGTGGTCCCCGATAACAGGGTGGAGAAGGGGGACGAGGAGCTGGATAACGCCGATGAGTTGCTTGCCTTTTTTTTTCTCCCCCATTTGTACTCTTACCAGTAAATTCACTAGGAAAACGAGCGGAGAGGACCTGGAAAGCTGGGGTCTCCGCGCAGCACCCCCTGTGCCTGACCAGGGCGCGCGCTCCGCCCCGGGCCGCGGTCTCTCGGGGTCCTGCTGCCGCATCCGGCCTCTCGGAGGAGCCAGGACCGCCGAGGCCACGGCCACGGGACACATCCAAGGCTCGCAGGACCTTCACACAGAAATCTGCCTTCTGCCCCAGCTCTGTGGGCGAGGCTCTCAACAGTGATCTTTTGATTTTTCTCTAGTGAGAGCTGCTGGGATCCAAACCACTCCCCAAACCCTGCATGCGTTTACTCTGTGACACTGCACTAAACAGCCAAAAGCGACAGTTAATCCTTTTTTGAAGTTAAGACAATCTCACTAATTTACGATCTTCCTGCCTCAGCTACCCAGAGTGCTGGCTTAGCATCGTGCCTCCCCAAGAGGAGCCCTGCCTGAGCAAACACCTCTGCAGTAGCACTGTGATACTGTTTTGTGACAGTCTTGAAATTCGGTCTCCTGCTGGCCAGTGCCCAGGGGCCAGGAAAGAGAGTAGCCGGGGCCCTGCTCTCCAGAGTTGTGAGTTTTCTGCCTGAGGCCTTTTCCTGGCACATCTTTTAGAAAAGTTTGCCCATGTTCTTGTTAGATTTTAAACCCATATATCTTTCTTAAGTTTTGTTTTCTGCTTCATTCATCATTTATGAGGTGTCCTCGTGAAGTATCCACCAGTGTTTTGTCTTTGCTGCAGCACTGGGGATTGAACCCAACTATATTCTGGACCCCTTTTATTTTTTCTTTGAAGACAGGATCTCACTAATTTGTCCAGCGTGTCCTTGAACTTGCATCCTCTTGAGCCGGGCATGGGGACACACACCTATAATTCCAGCACTTAACAGGCAGAAGCAGAGGTTGTGAGTTGGAGGCCAGCCTTTATAGCCTGGGCTACAAAATGAGTTCAAGGCCAGTCTGAACTGCATGGTGAAACCCTGTCTCAAAAACCTTGACACCCTCTGCTGCCTGCTACCTGGGATTACACCACCACTGTAGTTGGGGTGGGAAACCTCCAACAAAGCCCCAGCTTTTCAGGACTTACATTCTAATGGGCACACAGAGGAGGTGATCATGTGTCAGGCACAGTAGGGAGGAGCCAGATGGAGCTGCCCTTTTAGAAGACTGGTTAGAAAAGGCCCATTGGACAGAGGAGAGCTTAGGAACCGAGGATAATTAGACAGGGGGTGGGTAGGATTCTGGTAAACTGACCTCCTGTCAGGCGGGTAGCTCAGCGGTAGACTGCTTACGTAGTGTGTGTGAGGCCCTGAGTTCTCTTCCTTGAAAAATCTGAGAGTGCAAGCCATGAGGAAACCCAGGGCAAAGCAAGCATAAGGCCAGGAGTGTGGCAGGAACGCTAGCGGCTGCTGAGGAGGGGGGAGCCTCGGATCTGAGGGAGGGGGATGCAATCATTATGTGCTGCAAACATGGATAATACGCATTTTAAAATAAATGAACCAAAAAAAAAAAAAGTAAAAAGTGTTCATGTCTCTTGTTAAAACAGTAAGGCAGGGGCCTGGGATTTAGCTCAGCAGCATAAGCACTCTCCTGGCAAGTGCGAGGTCCTGAGTTCAATCCCTGGTACCAGGGGGGGAAAAAACAGTAAGACAGACTGTCATCAGCCAGACCACTCTCTAAGCCCTCTTTGCCTTGTCTTTAACCACTGAGCCCTCCAGTCCCTGGCCACTTCCCCGTCTTTCCAACTCACTTGCTGCCTGTTAGCTTGATTCTTTTCACACCTGGCCAAGATCCCTGATTCATCACAGCAAACGTCTCCCTGCCAACATCTCACGTGCCTTTCTGCTGCCCTGTTTCATTCACTCACTGCTTGCTTCCCCCAGTGCTGGGAATTGAACCCAGAACTTCACACTTGCTAGGCGAGTGCTCTTCCACTCACTTGCTACACCCCCAGAACGGCTGGTCTAATGTTACTGTCAGCTCACACAGCAATATTCTCCTGCATCAGAATGCAAATTTTAAGGGGCAGAATTCCAGGGCTGCACTGAAGGAAGAGAGAAATGATTAATGACGTGCAGGCCTTGTTCCTTTTGTCCAATGTGCATAATCACATAAAATTATTTTTTCTATCAGTCACTTGCCAAAAGTGCTGACTGCAAAAGTTGAGCATATTATCTGTGGCTGGGACTAAAACAGAAATATTGGACTGTGGAAATAAAAAATATTGGCTGTGGAAAAAAAAAAAAACACCAGCAAGGACTGATGTCAGGTATTATCGCCCACCCTGTGGAGAATGGGGGCAAAGGATGTGAAGGAGCACACGGGCACAGACCAGCTTTGGAAAGACCAGTACTCTGTCCCGCAGTACAAGAACTGGGGAGGGTGCACGTCAAACACTGGAACCGGTTTTTGGAGGAGTCCACGGATATTTCTGAGCCTTGAAATCACACTGGGAAACCGCATTCATAAACTCTCCCATGTTGTGGCATCACTACCGTGCAGATCTTAAGCTTTGGATGAAAAAAGGAGTTCAGTAAGCATCTCAGTCCTTACACCTAAGAAGCTGTGTCCTAACAGACATGCTGGTGTCTGCGCATGTCTCACTGTCTTACTTGATAGAGATATTGTCATACCTGGAATCTTGAAAACCACTGAGACCTTCCCACAATTGTGTTTCATCCATTTTCTGCATATAGAAACTTTATTCTTTGATTTTCAAACTGTGCTTTGACTGGCCTTTCTCTGTAACTTAATATCTTGGAGAGGTATACCTAATGAGCGCTGAAACTGTGAGGGCGAGAAATATGTTGCTTTCTGCTTCCTGTGCACAGGCAACCACTCGTCTGATTTCTGACACGTGATTATTAGCTTGCATTTTACATGAATGAAAGTGTACACTATGCCTCTCCTCCTGCCTTATCTTCACTCAGCACACTCAATTTGAGATTTATCCTTGTGTTCCAGCACAGCAAAGTTTCTCCATTTTCATGGTTGACATTCCAGTATATTGATTAAAAAAAAACATAATTTGTTGCTTCATTCAGCAGTTCACACATATTTGGATTATTACCACAATTTAAAGTCATGTTTATTATATTGCATTTGAAAATAAAACACCAAAAATGATTTCCTACTAGCAAAATATAACATCAAGAAAGAAATGTGATGACACTATGCAATGATGTAGATGGTTAAATTTTTTTTTAATTTGGTAATAAGGTTTCCTTTTTTATTGAAAGAGAAAAAAAGAAAACAAAACAGTGAAAGGGTACAAGTAATACAGAATTTCAAGAAAAAAATATACAGTAAGAAATCACTAGTTAGTAGATTACATATTGTCAACTTAGAAATAGTTGTTCAAATTACAAAATTAAAGCATGCAAAGTTGACATTCAAACAGTGAGATTGCACACAGTTCTGTCCAATGATCCAACAAAAACTTGTAATATGGTTTTCTATCTTACATACTTAAATATATATGCAGTTATATCCTTTAGATCCCATTCTTTTCCTCTCTTTTTTATAATAACAATTGCACATTTTGGGTTTTATTACTCCCACAGTTTTTATTACTTTTCTTTGAAGAGAAAAAATCCAAATGTGACAAAGCAAAACAGTCAGTCAGAAGAGAAGGCTGGGCATAGTACATGATGTAAAAACAGATGCCAGGTGATCACCAATGGTTACCACTATGCCTCTTGCTATCTTAAAAAGAGTTGCCTATATCATCAGCTATGATAGAACTGAACCAAACAATACAGAACAAAACCAACAAACCTAAACATTAGAGACCGTACAGGACTTCAAAAGAAGATAATAGTCAAACCATAATGGGCATCATAGTAAATCTCATTGCCTTCAAAGTGATTTCCTGTACCCTCAAACTTGATACTATCAAACAAAACAGAATAGAGTAAAATCAGTCAAAACAAGATGGGGAGAGCAATACAGGGCTTCAAATCAGGTTAATACGAAAACAAAAAAGGTACTATATCCCACTATTTTTAAATTTACTTTTCCCTTAATTAAAAAAATAGTAGGAAAAATCATTTTTTTTTAAAAAAAGGAAGAAAAGGGGAAATTGAGATAAAAGAGGACATAACAACAGAACAACACAGATCAGAACAGAGCAATTTAAGCATCATAGTGTTTCACCACCAGATAACCAGACATAATAGTAGTTACCATAGTGTCTCTTTCCTTGAAATATTTGAGTATAACCTTGGATATGTTACCATCAAACATATCAAAACAGTATGAAACCATTCAAGAGAATGAAAGTATTACAAGGTATTTAGAATCAGCTAACAGAGAATCAACAAATGTTTCTCTATTATCTTTTTGCCTATAAAAAATTTTGTTTATACTATCACATATATTAAAATATAATAAGATACAACATGTTAAAACCAATGGAAACAGATGAACAACAGCTTGATGTGACTTCAAAACAAGATGATATTAAATCAGCACTAGCTATTATGATGTCTTGTTTTCTTCAAAATAGCTATTTGTACTATCACAGACCATCAAATCGAACAACCCAGATTACAGCCATTCCAATTAATGAGTGAAAACATTATATGGCTTCAAACCAATATAATTGGGAATCATGATTACTACATACTTTTATGTATTCTTATCATTGCTTACACTAGGGAAACTATTCGGCATTTGTACCTGTGAGTTTGATTTACTTCACTTGTGAGTATGGTCTCCAGCTGCGTCCATTTAAGATGACTAAAATTAAAGGTGACTATGGTGCCAAATGTGGGTGAGAATACGGAACACCCGAAATGCTCAGACACTGCTTATGGGAAAGAAAAGTAGGACTTTACTTACTTGGAGTGGTACAAAAAATCATCAGCATCCATGGCTACTTCTTTCCATAAACCTCCTTGCTTATCTCTGGTGAAACACCTTGAAACAGAGTGACTGGGTCAACTTGCAAACGCATGTGTCACTTTCAAAGGAAATATCAAAGGCATGGTTCTCCTTACATCCCAGTCTCTTTGCCCTTCCTAACTTTTTTTCACGCTTTCTCTCTCCAGATTTCTTTCTGACATCAGTTTCTTGCTAAGTCGCACAGGCTGATCTCACACAGGATCCTCTTCTCTCAGCCTCCCATAAAACTGCTGTTTAAATTCCAAAAATGCATGCTAACCTGATTTACTCACTAGAGCTTTAAATTTCTGCAGACTTGATCATAAACCTCAGACTATGGTGTCAATTGCTAATAAAGACACATTTGATTTTTTCTGTATTTATTAAGTATTTTATTTAA